AATTGCAAAAATGAACACTGGCTGAACTGGATTGTTCCAGGACAAAGCAATTGGCAATATGACAATACACAAAATATAGAGTGCATATAAATCAGTTCACAGAAACGTTCTTTGTCGAATGAAAGCATCGCAGAAATAACGCGATGTTAAAAACAAATCCCGCCAACTGAATTGCAATTCAATCACAACTTAAGAAGCTGGAACGAAACAATTCAATTCCTCAGACTTCAGCTTCTGTTAGACATGGTCAAGATGGATGGAACTAGCTAAATTTGTTGACTGATGCTGTGGCAAAGAAATACAGTAAAAAGAAGACTGATTAGTGCTGCATTGCACACAATTATGCAAAGCTCAAAACTCGCAAAACCAAATGGATATAAACCGAACATTCAGTTAAAAATAAGCGGCACAGGAGCGGAGGATATTTGAATTAACAAAAGATATTTGAATTTATGGCGTTATGGCATTCATTTTCAATATTTCGTGTCTTAACTAAAGAAGATACCTTTCCCGTCCTAATCGAGGGCAGGGGTTCCCTTTGCGTTATAACATTTCTCTCTTTTTTTTTTATTTCTAGCAGAATATTTTGCAGGTATTCCATTGTCTTCAGTACCAGATAACTGCAGGAATTGCGAATTAATCTCAACCCATTCACGTCCATCGTACTAAATCGGCTATTAATACGATTTGCTGATAACTGAATGTAAGAGATATTTGTTAAGTCACAATAATTGAAAACTCATTAGACAAATCAATCCCAAATGCGACTGTTCCCAATCGAGTTAAATAGACTAAAATGGAAATTCACAGCTTGTTAACCATGATTTTTTTAAATACTGTTAAATATTATTGTTTTTGCCCTTTGTACCTCATATTTGATTTTACTCTCATACCAGTTTTTTTAAATTCATTTTTAATTTAACATTGATGACTAAATGACGATATTTTCTTGACTATGAGATTACTTTTACTCAATTTAAGACTGAAACTACTCTGTTTTTGTTTTAGAGCCCCCAAGATGAAAACTTAAATACGGCTTAAATATAGCCGGAAAGTTGGCCCAAGAAAAGAGTGTTTTATTTTTAGCCACTGTTATGTACCATGCCTTGATGACATGATTATTCCGTTAATTCTGGGTTCTCACGTACGCATCTGATTACCTAAACAACATTCGAACCCGATCTAGCTATAAATAACCTAATAGCGTCTTAATGTTACAACAAACAAAGTGGTTGAGCTTATTTTTCCTTTTTCGCGCTTAGAAGCTTTCATGAATCGATGAGCGTTTATCTAAATAATATTGTCCGACACCATCTGTGGAAGTGGTGATAATTCTTTCAACTAGTCATCCTAAAGTGACCATTTCATTATTTAAGTATATTTTTCTTCTAGGATGGTTAATTGATTTAGTAATATTTCAGACATAAGATAGCCTTTTGGTTTCACGTTCCAAGAAGAACGATTCTGGATAAACAAAAACGTCATCGAATTTTGATATAAAAGACCGTCTGATTTGTCCCCAAATAAGACACTCTACAAACTTCAGTCGAGACACATCGCGGTCGTGCATTTTACCAAAATTGCATAACAGTCTTTTCCTCCATTATTTAGTATTTAATAAGTAAGAAATTTATTTCATAAATTAAATAAAAGTGTATAAAACATTTTGATATTTATTTTAAATTAAATAAATAAACGGGAAATTGAACAAACCGTTCGGGTTCCCAACACCACTATCTATTGGCCGATACACACGAACAGGACCTAAATAGGCATCTGTTACTAAAATGAAAACGTTTAAGCTCAACAAACTTCTGCGAGTTATTTCGCATACTGCAAAAATGGCTGTAGATTCAATTAAAAGTCATTGGTAAGACACCAGAACAGGATGAACTTAAGACCGGGTTTAGACTATGGGAGTTAAAAAAGAACTACCTCATCAAGGTATTTCTATAAGCCAGTAAGTTGTCATTTACATCTTTTCACGTGGTACGTGATTGGGTTAGTTGGGCTGATTTTAAGAGGATGCTCCATTAAAAAATATATTGGTCTGTAGATGAAGATTAAGGTGTTGAAATCTTATTCCGGTCTCCTGATACATTTCCACAAATTAAACGCTCCCTTCAATTAGCAGATAATCATAAAATGTGTATGAATGCTCCATGAATTCTATTTGATGGAATATTCCACTCAAATTGTAAATTTCCGGAAAATTAGTAACATATTTTGTATAATGAATTTTGAATGGTAAATAATATTAAGTAGAATATTAAATTTCATAAAACAGCTAGCAGAATTTAATATTGCAGGAAATATATAAAATTACCAATTTATGATACTGGCTAAATGAAAAGAAAGACCATGGAAAATACCAAATAAAATATCATATTTCTTATCTTGCTTGAGTGGCCCTTACAATGAGATAGGGACGAAATTCTCGCGATGTACCGATAAAGGCGGTTTATTTCTTTGACGGAAAAATCTCTGCAGTATTTCTTTTATCAGCTGCAAAGTGAGCTTTTCCAAGCGGTCTAGCTGGAACTCAATTTAAAGTGCAATAAGATTGAATAAAGGTGGGATATTGGCTTCAGTATATTAGAAAAAAAGCAATTATTGTTAAAGAAGATATTCTACGGGAACTAATGGCAATATTGAATGGCTTTACATGTGATAACAAGGATTTCATGCAACGCTTGGTGACTTAGAACTTAGAATCACAAAATATTTGTTAAATGTATTAGCAGTATTTTCATTAATAAATCTGGAATTAATGATTCAATATTCTCTTCAGAGTATTTTATTACTTATTTTACGTTTTGAAAAAAGTAGCTTATGCGACTTTGGAAAGAGTTTTCGAAGGGAGAGATGTCACGAAACTAAAAGGCTCTGTTTCTACACATAAACAACATGCTATAGGCTAATGATATGGTTTGAAGCATGAGCAAAGTAACAAATACCGCAGTAAATGTTCAGAAAAAATTAAGAAATGTATGGGCTTGTTTCAAGTCAAGATTTAGCTTTTTTTAGTTAGACAGTTAACAACGTAAACCGTCCACTTCCATTTGAAAATTTTAGAAGGCTACGGAAACAGATAATGTTTTCGGTGACTTAAAATATTGAATCTTTTTCCACGTCCGGGGCACGAAAGCATTTGCTAAGAGTAGCTATATTAATATTACTGCTGATAACAAATATAAGCCCAGCTCTTATTATAGTTATTTTTCGGACCATATGGCACCTAATGTACTCCATTAGGGCACAGTGTATATAAATATTATTAACTGAAGGTTTCATATGCGTAGTAAACTTAATTCAACCAATTATTATTCAGTTTTGACCTTGCAACTTGTTTACTTCTAAGTCTCCCAACCAATAAAATAATATGATCCAACAAGCCGAATTAAAAATATATTTTGTCTGCTAACTTTTTCAACAAACTAATGAAGCAAGTATTTTCAATGGCTTGGCTTTGCATTGGGACTCATGGCAATTGCATTTCAATAATTTTCACCAGAGTTACTACACAAATAGTAATTATCTATATATCAACTATTATCAAATTGATTATAAAAATTTTCTACCTTTATTGAATTTTTCGACTATGTTAAATACCGATTGATCCAGCGAGATCAAATAAAAATTAGGTCTACCGTGAAACCCCACAAAATTATGCGAAAATCAGAGACGCGTGAGAACTAGTACCCAGATTGAATTGTAAATTTCAAACAAATTCAACTATCCGCCCATTAAGCACACCTTTATATTCATTTATGTTTAAACCCCGAGTAGTGAACGACTTTATATTCAAAATAACGAGTGTTTACTTCGGCAATGTTTCAGAGGCCTCACCGTATTTGCAAGTATAAAACAAGATATTTAATAAAACTTTTCAACTCCTTTGATAGTTCGTTACTTGGAACTTGGTTCTACAGGTGCCTGTATAAGACAATTTCAGTTATAAGTTGAGAGGTAGCAGCAGATGTTGCTAGAAACTTTTTAAATAGAAAATGTTCCCTACTGTGGCATTTTTGAATTTTAAATAAATTGCCTGTTAACTTGTGAACGTTTTTATAGCGAAATATTGCGTAGAAGAAGATGTGCTAATATAAAAATATTTTTTGATTATATACGATCTTTTTTACCGTTAACCACTAACACTGGGCATATGCATTTTATTATTGGCCAAGTAACATTGAGATGTTAATTTCTGCAGAATTGCATGTTCAAATAATTGTTTCGCAAGTCATAAAATTGATGCAAGTCTAATTTTCATGTGGGTTGCTCGACCGTCAATTCGAGTAGCGAAAGTTCAAATTGATGCCACTTGATGTTTTGAGCTATTTTAGTACCCCAGTAGACAACTTGTCCCTATTTAACACATCAAAACAATGCAACTAAGGCCAAGTAACTGCTTAAGTCGAATTTATTATTTGGATCACGAAGACTCTTAATACGAGGACAAATAGAAAAACTTTCCTATGAATAAGCAGGAATTTGCAGGAATTTGCAGTTATTTATAACCGCCGTTTTCAGGTTGGTTGGGAGTTTATAACTTTCTGTAAACTTTTCAACCGATAACTTTGCCCAAGTTTCGAATTGAAACATTCCCAAATCCTTTTCGAGAAACTTAAAATTTTAACATTTTAAATGGGAAACCGGAATATGCGAGGGAAGTTTACCGCAGTGCAACCGAAGTGTTTAAAGTCCAAGAAGGGTTTTGCTGGAAATATGCCAAATTATGATTTCTCATCGGACTCAAAAATTGACAAAATAAAAATAATGCCTCTGTTAACACACTTAACTGCTCAGTAATTACGAGACAACAGATAAACGTTTCGTGTGGATATATACGGTCTGATTCTATATACCGTCTATAACATACACATAAACAGTATCAAAACAACCGGAAAGTAACTACATTTTTATATGAATTGAATACATGAGCAAAACAAACTTAAAGTGCATTCAAATTGGAACCCACTCTTGCCGGCCAATCAATAGAATTGCCTAGGAGCTTTATTTGCAAGTGTGAATTAGTAAATAACAGGCGATTGTGTGAGCAACAATGTTGGTGTTGATTTTTTTAGGAGTATTATTAGTATCGCTAATAATTTGGATTAAATACTGCAATTCGTACTGGGAAAGGCGAGGAGTGCCAGGACCTAAACCATGGCCATTGGTCGGCAATATCGGATCGCATTTCATGGGACGATGCACATTAGGAGCGACAATGAGAGAAATATACAAGTAAGAATGTGGAATGAGATTCACTAATTTAATATAATGTAATAAACAGTAAGTTGTGTAGTGGTCCTCACGGAACCGCCTCAGCAAATACACCTTTTTTGAAGATTTATTGATTGATCCTTGATTCTTCAGGAAGCAAACCCTTATTTTCCCTATTTACACTGTCTTCTAATGAATCTACTTAAAAATTAGTCAGAAAACAAAAAAAATATTGTATTCACTCTATGTAAATTATCGGTTAAGCTGCTAAGTTAATTTTATCCAGGCGTCCTGGAGTAAGATATTTTACTCAGAGATGCACAAAAGAAACGGATACTGCGAGTGGTAGAATGTTGGAGAGAATGGAATATTTAAATGATAATCGAGAACATTCGTTGAATGTCCAACATCCCCGAAGAAACTCCAAGACTTGCATGGTCTTTGTCTTGTCTGTCCTCGTTAGCTACAGCAAGAACACTTTTGAAGAAATGACTATACAATCGGGTGACCGTCTAGGGTGAATACTTTTAATCTATACTCGGAAAACAGCAATCCTTTTAATCTATACTCGGAAAACATGGTAAATAAATAATTTAGTTATACAGTTGTAAATTAAGCTAGAGCAATAAGTAATCTCAGATACGCTGACCACATCGTCCTCCTAGCTGGAAGAAAGGCAGAGAATATGGAAATTGGACATAAGCAAAACAAAAGATATGCTAATAACAAAAACTGCACAAGACAATGGTAAACTATTCGTAAAAAGTCATCCATTGAAAGAGTAATATAATACAAATACTTAGGCGCAACACCTAATTGGAAATTAGTGAAATGAAATAATGAAACAAATGACGCTCCCAAGAAGAACGAAACAGAATTGAACGTGCCAGGGGCATATTTACAACAATGCAGATACTTTTCTGCTGCCAAGAAATAAACCCTGAATTAAAAATACGATGATGTGTTATGTTCCACAAGATGAAAGCCGGGACACTAAAAACGACTGACGAGAAATGACTAGAGGCATTTGAGCTATGGATATACCAGAAAATGTTGAAAATTTCATGGAAGAAAATAATTGCTTAAGTAGAGCAAATGTGACGCATGGATACGGAAATGGAAATAACAATAGCAATCGAAAAAAGGACTGGATAGGAAAAAAATAATGAGAGCAGCCCAATATTCCAAGTTAACAAGCAGAAAACAATCCAATGGAAACGAACTCGTGGCAAACAAACCTTATCGAGTGGAGCAGAATTTTTCATGTTCCACATGATGATCCTTCAATATATTTGACGCAATACATTGCGACTATCGAGCAAAAGAAATTAATTTTTATTTGTAAAAAATGGACAGTAGTTGCGTTACGAAATTGGCCTCATTCAATCGCTAACTGGGTTATGGGGGCTTTAGCGAGTACATTACGAATTCGTGGACCAATCGAGTTTAATTGGATTCTGATAGAGTCGTCCGTTGAATTATGCCAGTTTTATTTGTTTTCATCATATTAATTTAATCAATTTTCTACAAGTTGTGAGCTTCTTATGTCTTGATTTGCTATATGCCTGTTAATTATAATTAAGTGAAAAATGGTTTTTCTTTAATGGGAATTTGGTTTGGGCAGCGGTGTGAAAAAAGAAAAACTTTTTTAGCTACCAAGCTTTCTTGGAAGCTAAAAATTATCTCTATTTTTATTTAACAAATTTTCCTTTTTTCACTACTGCCCAGACCGAATCCTCAAGAAAGAGAAACCATCTTTCAATTGTTCATATATCGGTGAAGAAACTAACACTATTAATTATGATTGTTAACCGATTATTAACTATGTGTTGTTATAATCGGTAATTATTGCCGCCTGACTTTTTTCAACCGTTCTTTATTTAGTAATTAAGTCAACATTTCAAACATAATAGTTTTTCATACTCTTCCCTATTTCATTGCTTGACAGTCAGTATGTATTAAGTTGTGTTTCAAAAAAGAGAATTTTCATTGGATGCCATTTTTAAATTTTATCATGAAACTTTCTGCTTTTTTTTAGGACATATGAAGGATACCCATTTGTTGGAATGTTTAGGGCAACCCAACCAGTGCTACTCGTTAGGGATCCAAACCTTGTCACTCAAATATTGACCAAAGATTTTGCATCATTTCGAAACAACGAAATCACCGTAGACAAAAAGTCAAATATTTTACTTGGTCATAATCCTTTTGTGTTAAAGGATCAAGAATGGAAGGACACCAGACATATGCTTACACCTGGAATGACTAGTGGCAAGGCAAGAACTTCTTTGAGTCATTAAGTAAACGGGTAAAAAAGTTTGAAATTTTAGATGAAAAATCTGTTCACACTGTTAAAAGATATTGCCTGCATTTTTGTAAAATTTATCGAAAACCACCCAACGGCTGCAAGTGATGGAATCGAAACCCGGGCATTAACCAAGAGATTCACGTTGGATAACGTGGCAAAAACTGCATTCGGTGTCGATGGCAAAGCATTTGAGAGTTATGAGGATATATCGGATTTTAATAAGTTAGTCGATCAGTTTTTAAAACCTGGGACTGTCCAGTCAATATTCATTGCGTTGACGCAAATTTTTCCAGGGATTGTAAACTTAGCAAGCCTTTCGTGAGTATTAATCAACTTTTTGAATAGTGAAACAAATTTGATCCGAACAATCCCGTAAGAGTAAAATGGGGAGCAAACATTTTCACAAATTTATTTATGCCGATCTCTTCGTTAATATAACCTAGAAAATGCTTTTCAGAGTTGTTAAGCCAGAAGTGGAAAGCAAACTAATTGAAATTATCTCCGACGTGCTTAAACATCGCAGGGCAAATAACGTTGAAGCTAGTGACTACTTGCAATTTCTAATTGAACTTTCCAAAGCAAAACACTTTGGAGATACGGAAATTACCGCCCATGCAAGTACATTCTTCTTAGACGGCTATGAAACTTCATCTTTGACTTTATCGTTTTTGTTATTCAATCTCGCACAAAATCCGGAATATCAGAATAAAATTCGAGAGGAGATTAAAAAGTATGAATTGGAAAACAAGGGACAGCTCACATATGATGCTCTCCACGAAATGCCTTGGCTGAATGCTTGCCTTTATGGTGTGTAACTCAAAATTATCACTAAAGTTTACATTATTATTTGCTCTGAAATAATTTCAGAATCCTTACGAGTGACTCCGGTAGCAGATGTTCTTACAAAACGATGCAATGAGCCGTTTGAATACACCGCCACTACATCTGATTTTAAAAAAATGAGTGTTAAACTAATTCCAGGGGATGTTGTTGTTCTTCCGTATGCCATGACGACCGAAGATCCCAATTATTTTGAAAGTCCAAAAAAGTTTACTCCAGAAAGGATGTTTTCAAAGGACTCATTTATCAAGGGCACTTTTCATCCTTTCTCAGATGGTCCCAGAGCATGCATTGGTACGTTGAGTAGGAAAACCCAAACTGATTTTTAATGCAAAAATTATCAATGCTTAAATGTTCACTCATGACCAACAATTAGATAGTCCTTCATCGTTTGTAACGACTAATATCTGATGTTTCAATTTCAGGTCGACGCTTCGCAATTCTGCAAATAAAACTAGGAACAGTCAGTGTTCTTAAACATTTTAAACTATCTGTTAGCCCTAAAATGAAACAACCGATGACCTATATTCCATACCACATTTTCAATGAACCCAAAGGAGGGTTTTGGATAAGATATAAAAAAATTACAAAGTAAACAGCACTTGTGTGGTGATTTGCTCGAATGATGCAACTAACAGTAACACCTTTTGATGGGCCCTGTTGAAGCATTTTGAATGTAATCTTTATAAGTATCATCAAATGCATGGCTTAAAATATATTTTGTTAACTCATAGTTGCGATTTTATCTTACCAGGCAAGGCAATAGAAAAACCCATTCCAAGAAGAGCATTTCTCACCAACATTTATGCTACTTGTTATTAGCCAAAGAAAAAAAATTTGGATTTTGACAACAGGTTGAATTTAAAACATTGCTCAAATTGACTGTTTGTATGTCCTTTGAACATGACTTAATTTAAGTGAAATTCTATGCGTAACTCCATATCAAAGATTCGTTTCGGCTTATTCTTAAACAATTCAAAAAGAAGACAAAAAAACTACAAAAGAACTGACTTTTCAACAAATCGATGCATCACATAAATGTGACCTGAGTAAGTAAATAACGTCTTATTTTATGGCAGCAATTTATTTGATACACTTCTTATTTCTTCAATTATGAAAAATATATGTATTTTGAATTAATGAACGCCTTGTTTCGAATCATTTCAACTCGTTCGAGATTTAATGATTGCTGATTTGAGTTAAAGATTGTTAGTGGTCGATCGAAAGATTAAACAGATTGGAGTGTGTGTAACCCGTTAGGCAAGTGTTGGATAACAATTGCCCAGGAAAATCAAAATTGGAAGATGAGGAACATTAGAATGGTCGTATAGGTTTCCCGATCTAACGCCCTTCGATTTATCTTTGTGGGGACATTTAAAATGTAGTGTTCCAAATCCAATCAGCAAATATTTGAAATCCATTTACTATTAAGTCGCGCTCCGTGTTTCTTCTGATCAATTTTTAATAAAAACATATTTTCTACAGCAAGCCAACAAATATTTCGCATAAAAATCAGCAAGAAATCGACCCAGAATATTAGATGAGTCTGCTCAAGTCGAAGTTCTCGATTAACTTGTCCAACATCCATCATCCTCTATCCGTCAAGTGACAATTTATTGAAATTTCAACAGAAAACAATTACCCATGAAACAGAGTTCGAAGACGAGAAACGATAGAATGGCCTCCTGGGTCTCCGGACCGCATAGAGTCAATTCAGCTCTCCTACAGGAAATCCCTCTTCAATCCTTTGAAAGTTGAAGCATTACCAAAACAAAACCCAACCATTTAATAATAATAATATATTCCGTTCACTAAATTACATACTTCATACAAAATTGTAATTCTTCAGAAGTAATTAAATTACCAGTACGCACCCAATGATTAAATTGAGCGGTAAATTTTCTATATTGATTTAATTACAATAAAACCTGATTTAATGATAAAACCTTTTTTTTTCTTTTCCTGATGGAAAATCATTTAATCCTAGGCATTGTCGGAAATATTGGTGTCGAATTTAATAAAATCTTGGTACCATTGAAAAGCTTATTGAAAAGAAGAACGAACCCAAATTTTAATGTGCGAAATGAGCCGACGTGCTTTACGTTGAACTGAATTCTCAATACACTTAATCTGTACACTGCGTTAATACATCAATTTGACCATTATCAGTAATAAGTCGGTTCATCCTGCTAAAGGTCATAATTTAATGTAGTTTATATTATTAAATCGAGTTGGGTATCACGTTTAGCAACCGTTTGTCTAGTAAAAATGTTTGAGGTACTTCTAGCAACGTTCATAGTTTTGCTTGTGTTGTGGTACAAAATTAGATCATACTATTGGGTGAACAGGGGTGTTCCTGGCCCGAAACCATGGCCAATAGTCGGAAATCTTGCTGAACATCTATTCGGAAGAAAAACTATTGGGCAGGTTATAACGGAAATTTACCAGTAAGTTAACAAATCTATGCTGTAGCTGGGCAATAGTAGATTAATTCATCATTAATAAGTTGGTTGGATTTCTGATGTGTGAGCTTACAGTCTGGATGTTTTGAGAACAACACCGGAAGTCCCTTTGGACCCTAACTTCCAAGTAATTTTTAACTTCTATATATTGCACGATTCGAAAACGAACGCACAATGGAAGACATATTCTCAATATAAACACCAACAAAAAACCCGCTTCTCTGTAGTTTTTGTGCCTAAGTGTAAGAAATTTCGGATATGAAAGGAAAAACGATTAACATCGAAAACACAAGTACACATTAAGAAAGCTCAAGACATCGGGAGCGGCCGATAAAGCGCTAAGAATATTTTCAAAAGCTTTCAACTGCCTAAATCGAAAATTACTACCTAAAATGCTAAAAGTACACGGGTTATTAAATCTAAGCATATAAAACGGATAAAAAAATAATAAATGAGTGGGTGGATAAATACTAAATACCTTTCAAGCAAAGAAAAGGCTGATTACTTGAGAAGAGTAAAAACAATCCACCAACTTGACGTTTTCCTGGTATTTAATCAGGTGCTTGGTGCTTGGATATTTTATGCTATGCTATTTATAACGGGCTGTATCTTGTAAAAAAATTGTTGATTCGGACCCGACGTTAATGCTACGCATTTTACTATTTCCTGCAGAAGCTGCGCACCTTAATAATTTATTTTAAGGTCCTCAATTGCTATTTAAAGTAACTAACGAAGTTAGCAACTAAGTAAGTTACTAACGAGTATTTTAATACCGAGTCATTTAATAAAAAATGGTACAAAAACACATTTTAATCTAAACATATTTGGTTAATAAAGCGGAGCAAACGTCGCCTTCGCTAGGTGATGGAAGCAATAAAAATAATGTAAAATTATAAAAAGCAGAAATCTCTATATACTTAAAGGAAAAACCTGTATGTTTTGAGTGGGCTCGTCTACACAATAGAAGAACAGCGTTTCGTTTGCGTGCAATTTCCATTCCAAAAAAAACAACATTTCAATTATGCATGGTATTCTTGTGTATAGGTGGTAACCTCAATACTAAACGTTTTCATATAATCCCTGATTAGTCTTCATACATGCGAGATATAAACGCAAGTGACCTGAACTCAATTAAAATAATTTGCTAATCATTATACCAGTTGTTATGTATTTTAATAAAAATAATAATAAGTCTGATAGATTCAATGAGTCATCGGGAGCATGAAGCGCCTTGCATTGTCAGAAATAAATTGGCATCGGCAGTTTCCACTGTTTCCTGCTAGAATCCGTTGAAACCAATATTAATTGTGATTTTCAGAAAGTATGATGAGTATCCGTTTGTGGGCATCTTTCGAGCAACCAGTCCATGTTTGCTAGTTCGAGACCCAGAATTTGTCAACAGAATATTGGTAAAAGATCACAAATCGTTTTATAATAATGATTTCAACATTGATAAAAAGAAAGATCCTTTATTTGGTCAAAATCCATTTGTGCTACGAAATCAAGAATGGAGAGACACTAGGCACATGTTGACGCCAGGGTTCACCGGCGGAAAGGTTAAGTAGATTTTGCATAATAAATAGCAACACGCTAGTAACGCTAGTTTGCAGATGAAAGACATTTATCCGTTAATAGTTGGAGTAGCAGCAAAGTTAGTCAAATTTGTTGAAAACAATCCGAGTGTTGAAGCGGACGGAGTTAATGCCAGGGAACTAACTAGAAGATTTACTCTCGACAATGTGGCTATTGCCGCATTTGGGATTGATGGAAAATCTTTCGAATCTGAGGAGATCTCAGAATTTATGGAATTAGCCAATAGAATTTTGACACCTGGATCGCTTAATGGGATCCTGCAACAACTGACCACAGTTTTACCGATTCTTAGAATCGCTCTGTCAGTGAAGTAAGTTGGACAATTCCAAAACGTTAACTCAGTTCAAAACTTAATCAAATAAAAAACATATTTGTTCAAAGAAATTTAACTTTTGTACCAATCAATCGAATTTTTTTTTTGTCGCAGCGTGTTATTGCATTATTATTACAAGAGTCTGAAATTTTCAGTTGTTATTTTTCGTGGCAAATAGCGAGTAAAGCACTGAGTCGTGTGTTTTGATCAGAGTTCTGTGACATATTCTGTACGTTACCTCTCCACTTGAAACAAAATTGTAGTGAATCGTTTTGAAACTGAGTCTTTTTCCTCAACGTGCAGATCTAACCAAATCAAGCGAACCAAACAAATCTTCACAAAATGACGCAGTTTCAAAAACTAAAACTAACACTCCTAACCATTGAAATACTAGCCAAAGAATTAAGCGACAAATTACTACAAAATGTATTAAAATCAGTGTGGTACAAAAGTTCCAATACTTTGCAGTTTACCAAAAATCAGGCGCGCCACTATTTCGTTTCCACTTTAACTGTTCAGTTCCCTAGTTACTGAGGAGGATTACATTCAGGATCAAAAGACCATCTGAATGAACTTTATTAGAACTGTTGATAAATTTGAATGGTTAACACTTCTATTCACGCTAAATAACGATGTGCTCGCAAATCCATTTCTGTTGTAAATTTATTTAGATTTTTTATCACAGCTCTTAAGATAATAAAATTGTCTTCTATTACTATTTATATAATCTGCTGAAGTTGCCAACGTATTCATATGGAAGTTTAACACGCAAGCTTCCCGAAACATACGAATCAAGTACTGAAATTCCTGTCTGTTTCTGCACTATTACTTGAGACAACTGAGTTATTTTCAATAGAGCTCTAGTATATTTCTGAAAGAGTATCATGAAGAGAAGTGAACAATTAAAGTGAATCACTAAATGATCACAAACATTTGATTCTAATCCAGCTAAGTGGTATTTATAAAATCTGGTTTAAAAACATATATCTGAAACTGAATTAACAGCATATGACATATTTCTATTCAATCTTTTGCTTTTATGCCAATTTTAAAATGAATTGTAAATAAACGAGCTAAGAACTGATTCGAGGTTTATTTGCAGAATGGTGCCTAAAGATGCTGAACACCGACTAATTGAAATCGTTACACAAGTAGTAAACCACAGAGCATCAAGCAATTTGAAAATCAATGATTATTTCGAGTTCATTTTACAAATTGCTAAGGAAAAAGGTTTAAGTAATACAGATATTGCTGCACATGCCACCACATTCTTTCTCGACGGTTATGAAAGTTCCTCCAACGTTATGACAAGCTTGCTAATGAACTTGGCAGTGAATCCGACATATCAAAAGAAAATAAGAGACGAAATTAAAACTGTAGAAGAAAATAACAACGGTATTACTTATGAAACTATTTTTGAACTAAAATGGCTGGATGCGTGTTTGAATGGTAATTAAATATGTAAAGCTATTTTGCAAAATTTTCTATAGCTCTTTGTTTTTCAGAAACTTTACGATTCACCCCTCTCTTCGACATTATGGTGAAAACGTGTACTCAACCCTTTCAATATACGCCTGATAGTTCAGACTTTAAGAAGATTACAGTTAAGCTTTATCCCGGAGACACAGTGATACTTCCTTATAGCCTGCTGATGAATGACGAAAAATATGTTGTTAATCCTAAAGAATTCCTGCCAGAACGAATGCTGGGCAAAGCCGACAGTAACAGATCGATATTTTTTCCATTTGGAAACGGTCCACGCACATGTATAGGTCTGTGTAATTTTTTAATAAGTTCATGAAATTAAAATTTTATTCTCCATTAAGACAAATTTCCAGCTTAAGAATGTTTCATTTCCATTTCAGGTCAGAGATTTGGAATCATGCAAATCAAGCAAGGAGTAGCGGAGCTTATTAAACATTTCGACATTTCGTTAAGTCCAAAATTTAGATATCCCCCAAAATTAATTCCGCTTAACTTTCTAAATGAGATTCAAGGTGGTGTCTGGCTGAGATTTAAAAAGATAGGTAATTAAAAATACATGCAAATTTCGAAGTACACACAAATGGTCTGATTAAAATTTGAGCCTGCACTAGACGTGTTGGTATTACATCAAATAATTACTGTAAATATACGTTTGTGCGAGAGCAAATAGGGCCGCATTTTCTGGAGACTGAAAAATATCAGGTTCTTCTACAACCTGCAGTTACTACTTATCTAAAAATATGGGCAAGGACGTTTCTAAGGAATTGCTTCAAATCACTTTTCCTTATTGGAATGTATTTTTCGATTTCCTGCTTAATAGAAGAAGCTGAACCGTTTGTTTATTTCACAATTTTTTCTGACCTGAAGGTACATAGAGGAAAGTCGAAGACAATGGCTTTTCGATCTGCAGTATTTTACCTGGTACGGTGTTGTTATTTTCATCGCAAATATTTCATCTTACACCTATGTGAGGGTTTATATTTACTCAAAGCCCAACGGAAAGAATATGATGAATAATTTGCACAATTGTGCAATAAAAACTTTTTAGCGGTAAATTATTTTAATTTAATTTCAAAGTATACACAAATTTACTTCAAGCAAAATTCAATTTGGTTTGCCAGCAATCTACGCTTTACTATTAAAACGGAAATTAATTTTACATACTCTTACTTATGAAAGAGCTTCTTAATACATGCGGCATTAAATATTCCCCACTGAGTTTCCTAAATATGACAGAATTTACAAACTGTTGGAAAACTGGGCTCTTACCTAACGGCAAACAGATGCACAATAAAGTTTCGTGCTAAACCAACAAAACTCTTTAAAAAGACCTGGAGCAAGAAATAATCCTTTTCCGCCGCTTTATAGAGTATTTTCCATTTTAGACCTGGCAAATTAGTATGCATAGCCTGGCGCAGCTTGCCAGGCCGCATCTGTTGAGAATATAATTCTACGCCTTATATTTTCAGAACCGCAAACAAATCTTATATTCTCAACTGCAAGCGTAGTAGTGACTTTAAAGACCTCCTTTCAATTACTATGTTTCAGGAAAGAATGAGAACAAAGGGATACGTAATACATATTAAATTTCCAATAAGAACATTTTTCGTTGGAACGCAATTTGAGCAGCTGCCAAAGACCTCAAATAATAATATATGGAAAATATCTACACAATTTTGGTTGAATGGGTTACAACCTCAAAATGTATCGCATTTTCGGCATTATAATAAATTAAATATGCGGGATACCTTCGAAACTATGTCTCATAAAAGCTCATTAGAAAATCGATGATATCTTCAACTTACTCGTATATTTTCAGTTCCACATTCCAAAGCTAAACAGCTTCCGAACTATTAAATTTTCTTTCTCTTTTTGCTGATCGAAATTAACTGGAAGAAAAATTTATGAAAAATCAGCTATTAATATATTGTCTCAAACAACATAACAAATATTTGCATAAAGGTAAAAACCCAAAGAAGTAGAAAATTGTTGACAAAGTTCTAAAGTAAGAACCAGTAATAAAATCAAGGGCAAAAAAACGCATAGACAGTCATCCAGATCCTACCGGAAATAGTGATTTCTCTTATAAGAAAAAGAAAACAAAGTTAAATGCTTAAATGAAAAAAAAAATGAGCACTAAAACTAGTTTAGGTATCAAAACTAGTTTTAATTTCGTGGGTGAATTTCAAACTTAATGAATAAAGTATCGACAAAAAATTGCAAGAACTGTGTGTTAAAACAAAACTTGAAAAATGTGCGAAATGAAACAATTGAACTAGACAGACCACAAACACTAAACAGAAAAACTGCTGAAATTCGTTTGATCGCACAAATTTAGGACAACATTTGCAAACACGGCAACAAAATGAAAACAAATTGCCAAAACCAAAATCCGCCTTTAAATTAATAAAATGTCGTTTATCATGGAGAATATAAACTCCAAACTCCCCAATACTGGGAGAATTAAAATGCCTCTCAAACTGAACGAGTTATTCAGTTCACTAAATTGGAATAATAATGTACTTGACAAACTGATCATGAAGCTTAAACTCATCGGAATAAATCCACTTGGTGAACGGTGTACAATCTTTCACAGCTCCCGATCAAATAGAATAAACCAATACATTTAAAAGCAATTTATTTCCGAATAATTTACCATTGTAGATGTCTACATCCAGATCAGATATTGCTTGTTGAATTATTTTCCTTTAGAATTGCAAGTCTTCATATATTTAACGTAATAATAAGACTAAATGTATTCGAAAGAAAACGAGTTCGAAATGAAAATTTAATTTCAACGTATTAAATGTTTTAATTAAAAATTACAAATAAAATAAACTACAAGTTCGTAGGCTCATGGGTCTGGCGGTATGGTCAGCTGTTCAAAAAACGAAATAACTTGTAAAATACGGAAAAATTTGCGCCCCTACAGCCAAGATAAAAGAAATTCTTTAAAAGGCAATTTAACTCCGGCTTATCCCTATGCTGGAAAAGAACGAATGGATTTACTTCTGATTTTTCACAGTAATCCTTTATCGACAAACATAATGTATGCGGATCCTGAATTCGAATTAAATGCAGTGTAATTCTCGTTAACTTGAGAATGGGTTCAATCAATGATGGATTCAATTCATCAGATTATTAATGGATACCAATTTTTATGGTGGCATCGAACAGTTTAAGTTTTTGAAATAGTAGCAAACTGCTGTTTGCTGTGTTTGACTAGAATTCAGAAAACAATTCGGACTGTCGGAACTGCACACAAATCGCACGATTCATATCTCAAACTCACACATTTTCAGCAAAAAGAAACACCTTAAATAAACATCTGAGCTGTTTTCAAATCATGGATCGTGTTTTATTGAAAACGTATCTCCTTGGCAAAGCCAGAAGCGGTTCAATTATCTTTCCTTATTGTAATCACTGAAACGAGATACAAAGAGAATCCGCAAAAATCCGAGAGCAAACTTTCAACCAATGCATTCTTTGTAATAAATTGCAACGCGTTTATCTTTCCGCAAGAGTGGCAAAAGCATTTATCTGTGGTCGGTTCCCGTCGAGTGTTTCCCAAAAATATAACTCAGCGCGTAAAAATAAAACAGTCCGACAACTTTCCGCAATAACTGCAAGCATTTAAATGAAATTAAAGTTAAAACTATGAGGCGATGGACATCTAGAAAATGGCGATTATTGATTTTGATGAGATGTCTAAAAAAGTATATGTTGCATATATAGAACCAAAAATATTCAAATATCACCTCAACAATTTCCGGTATTTTATTAGGAAGTAAATTATTTTATTAAATAAGCGTCGAATCACATAAAAGGGAGAAATTCTGACTCGTGATTGCTGACAATAATTCCTGCATTTGGTTTCCTAAGTGCTTCCCCAGCGTTTGATGCTTACCTCGTTCCCTCAACGCAGGTATACTCAAGTACGTTGTTTTATACTTGTCTTGCATTTTCCAAAAGAAACAAACGCAGTTAAATCCCTGGGAATAAGCGCATATAAACCTCCTGGTCTGTTCGTGTTTTATCAAAATTATAACCGTAAGTAACGCAAATTTAGCCTTTATCCAGTCTGTTCTCACTTTAAACAGAATGAGGTTTAAAACATTAAATACCTAGATTTTGTTACGGTTCTAAATTTAAGCTCAATCTGCTTGAACACGTGAATTTTACTGAAATATCTCGATAGGCTGATGAAAATAATTCACCACTTTCACGATCGCTTTTCAGAATTAAGGCCTAGATGCAGGCCACATTTCGTTTGTATGCTAGTTCCTATTAGGGATGGTCGGTATTTAACGTAACCGCGAAAATAACATTGTTCCAAACGTGTAACCTGAAACCGTAGTTACAGCTAGCAAATTTAACCAGTTGTTTTTGGAACCGTCTCATAAACCGGAAAAAGCCGTTCGCAACAGCACAGTACCGATGCGAGACCGTCGAGCATCTATCTAGCTGCAGCCGTTTGCCAATTTAACCGTTCTTTTTGGAACCGTCTCATAAAACCGAAACAGTTGAACGCACTTCGAACCAGCTGCAGCCGTTTTCCGATTAAAAGGTTGTTTTTGAAACCTTCTCATAAAACCGTAACGGCGGTGCGCACCAGCACAGAACCAAGTATATGCCTATAATCAGCAAACTACGTAGAATGTACATTTGCACATGAGCTATGCCCAAATTTAGAGTCTAAGACATAAATTCCATCACAGTTGAAATGTAAAATAATTAACGTTGTAACAACAATGTGCACCTGCATTTAAGCAAGCGTGCCATTTTTAGATATAAATTCAGCCACAAGATGAAATGAAAGTTAGTTATATAGGCGTTGTAAGGTCGACATAATTTTTAAAATTATTTTTTGGTGGGACCAACATTTACTCGGGTAATACTTCGAACTCAGTAAAAAGTATCTGCAAAAATTTTTATTTTTAAACCTTAATTAATTTTTAAATGAAAATAAGATTTTTAAACATTTTTTCAAATAAAGCGAATATTTTATTTAATCAGTTTTTATTTATATATTTTATCTAGTTTATTATCAGTTTTTTGTTCTTTAAGCAGGTACTTCTGACCAATGTTTTGTTTTTTATTTTAGAATATTTTATTTTATCTAAGAGCTTTAGTTAGAAAATATTCTTTTAATAAATTAAATCATTATTTGTCATTACTATTTCTACCATCATCATTGCGCATGTTTAATGAAAATTTTTAAAAATAACATGTTCCTTTTGAAACCGCATTTGGAAACCTATTACCAACGTGAACTGGAACGTCGGAACCTTGTTACAGAAAAATAACCGTTTATCCCACCTCTAGTTGCTATGTATTATTAACAGCCTTCACTTTTACTTTACTTTTTAATTTACTCATTTCGAAGTGACCAAATAGTTATAACCTTCCATACATGCGAAACATATTCGGCTGCAAAGTAAACTGTTACTTTCCAAACTGATTTTAACTAAAGGCTCGGTTATGCAGTTAGGAAAGCGATCGTTATTTAAAATCCAATTATATAGCTTTTCGTTTTAGTATTGACGCTTATTGATGGCGGTAAAAACTTTTGAATGGGTAAAGTTCTATTAGTAATGCTGAAATTAGTATGCATTGCTTGGAAGTTATTCAAATGAGCCTTGCCGTTAACGCGGTACATTTTTCAATTAGATACGATGAAAATTCTTGTTTAATGAGCAGTTTTATCGATACATTAATACATAGAGATATCCAAGATAAGTGGTTACCAAACAAAAAAATAAAGCCAACCATAAAATAAAAATTGGCCCCAACGTAAAATATCAGCGAATATTTCCGGTTCATTTGTTCGGCCCAA